TCGATAACGTAAATATCTAAATCAACCTCAAAGATTAAAATGGTTACTGTTACAGACCAAAAACAAATTAAAGGTAAAGAGACGAATCTAAAATCTTTTATACTGTCAATTAAACACTAAAGAACTTAGTTTTAACGGCTTTTCCAATCATGACTGCGCCATAGGTGTACTTTGCAATACTAGTTTATAACCATATTCTCCGGTTTTGATATCCTGTCAGATGTCAGATCATATAGAAAGGTGAGTATTTTTCCGACATCGATTTTCTCCGCGTTTTACCATCACAGAAATGCTAAGAGACCTGGAAGCACAAACTTCATCAAAATCCAAAAAGGATGAATACTGGCTGAAATTTATCAGCTTGCACGGGACTCAACAATCTTAGGTAACTAACTTGAAAATTCTTTATATAACTTATTTCAAGTTACTATTTGACTGATAAAAAGTTTGATAAACACCGCTGTTAAAAGGTAAACAGAATCTATCAACTGATTAATAGAAAATACTTTAGTCATATACTGTCTGGGAAACAACTTTCTACTGATACACTATAGAAAATAAGATAAAAGAAATTACCTCGTGCAAAACGAGCAATCAATAAGGATTTGGCGGGAATATATATATTTTTTATTGATACGCTTGAAAATTGAAGTAATTAGGAACATAAAAGATAGCTACAATAAAAATGATAATGATAAAAGTATTTACTGTGATAATCAATGCGATTATCGTAATTGGTTTTGTACAAAAAAGCAAGTATCTTAAATGAGTAAAAATTAAAAGGACGATTGGTTTGGCGCATCATTTTCCAATCTTTTCTGTACACAATAAACAAGATAGGAGTAAATAAAATGTGTTTGTATACGCACGCATCATGTATATTATTATTGTAAGTAATCCTCGACTGATTTGAATTGAGAGTATAACGATAAAATTTGGCAAACTGAAATTCGTTGTTTTCAAACTTCATCCTTATATACTAAATAAACTGTTGATCATCGTGTTAAACCGATTGCGGAAGCTAATGAGATCAGGATCAATATGGAGATAACAACAACCAATATAATACAGATTATTTTGCACTAAACCAGTAATCAGTTGATTGATATTTAGTGATCCACATAAATTGCAGTGTGACAAAGAGAAAAATATATTGAAGAAAAATAACAACAACAATAACATCAACAAAGGCACAGTAAAAACGAACAACAATAAGAAACAGACAACATATACAATAAAGTAGCTACCTTGCATTACAAGTATTTGTGTTTTATAGAGGTCATTCTTATAACCTACGGTTCATTCCGTTGTTTCCCAAAAACCCGATACGATAAACAAGCAAGAAACCATTTCACAGAGTTCAAATCCAAGGTATATGATAAATAAGGCTTACATTAATTTCTTCAACACATGTGTACTACATACAATAAATGAGTAAGATAAATCTTTTTAAATCGTAAACAAACCACTATGCTATCAAACGTATGTGTAAAGCATTCCAGATCTATTACACTACGATTAACAATGTAAACGAGATCAATAACTCACATATACATTGGTTCAAGCGATTTGTGTGGCCCATATATATATCATGGTGCCCCTTTGAACCAATGTTTACATGTTTAAACAGATGAAGAATAAACGTCATTTTATGTTTCCAGACACTAGCTGCGATAATCACGTGAACTCCAGATCGGTAATCTGCACCTACCTAAATGAATCAGTTCAACAGTCAGCATTTTAATAAACTGATACTATGTTTTGGTTTGACCGCCCCTAATTTTCTTCTAACTTAATACCACGTCAACCGCCATTGTTTATTGAGGTAAAAAGCTACTGAGCGTACATAATACATATCCCAACTATTTCAATCAATTAGAATCCACTACTACTACCTGGTCAACTATGGCTTCAACATTCCTCACTCAGTGATAACAACGCACACAAGTAAGAACATCTATGATATAAAACTAGAAACCTACAAATATTCTCCAGTGAGGAATGTAATTGTGGTCGAAAAGTGCGTCTATTTTCTAGAATCTGCGAAGGGCGAAAATTTGGTTGATTCATCCGCTTCTAGGTTTGAAACAAGCCTGGTTTTCTCGGGTCTGCTCTTTATGAGCCCTGATTAAGCATCCGATTCTTACTGAATCTAGTATTTTAAATAGTTAAATTGATTCCTCTGTGATTGTCACAAAAGGACTTTGGTCACTTCGTATAAACTGGGACGATCAGAGATCCAAATCAGTCATATAGGATTCTAGCTGAGTTCTCAGTTAATTTAACTACCACACTTGGACCACCATTTTAAGGAGTTCTGGGGCTGGTTCATCTGAACAAGCTACTTTCCCTGGCTTCAGATTAATTACAGCCTTTTAAAACTTGCTAAAAGCTAGGGAATTCATGTCAACTTCCAATTCAGGGTGTGGATAACAAATGAGTGGCTGGAGGCAAGTTGAACTGATAGTGAATAATAGTCCCATCTTTGTCCTAAATAGGTTAACTAACAGCATGATCTTTAATACTTGCCTATTTGATGACTTTAAATGGTTATTTATTGTAATTTGATCGCAGCATAGGTGTCTTCGAAACATTGCTCGTATATCCTGGGATCATCGAGTAAGTAACACAGTTGCTAGGAAACGGGTACTGGGTAAGGATGGCAAATCAATTGATGAACTAGTGAAATTCCATCAGTTGAGATGGCTAGGACACGTGTTACGTATGCCCAACTACCGACTGCCTCGACGTGCGATGTTTCATGGTGTAGGAGTAGGATGGAAGAAAGCTAGGGGCGGCCAGATCAAAACATGACACAAAACCGTGAAGTCATTGACAAGTGGACTGAGCCATGTTGGTAGGTGTAGACTACCTGGTTGGGGACCGCGAGATGATAGCAACCGATGGTTAGGGACCTTGAATGACATTGCTCAAAATCGTTTGCAGTGGTTCAGGTGCATCAACTCCTTGTGTTCTCCCAGATTTTAATCCCCTGAATTCTTTGTGTCCCTTTTCTTTCTCTTTCCAAATTTATTTCACTGGATTATACTACTTGAATCATAACTTCAAACCCTAATCTTTCCGATTACTGGTTATACTTGTACTACCTCTACCACTACGGGACTTGAATCGACAACTGTATCTCTGTGCTAATGTGGTATGGCAACTCGAACTGATGTACGTACGTACAAAGTTCTATGTTGTTAACTGACTGACTGAAGGGCGAGTACAGTGTGTAGCGTTTCTCTTCCTATTAGTTTACGACTGTAAAACATAGTTCATGAAAGCAGAGGACTGGCGTGGGTTACGAACTTTAGGTAAGAGGCATCTTTGAAACATTGCTAGCGTATCGTACAAAGACTGAGTGACCAGTAGTGAAGTTAGAACTGAGATATCAAACAACGATGATAAATCAATTGATGAGTATGAATCTTCATGACCAATGAAGTTGGGACATATGTTACGCATCTCTGACCATTTCCCACATAGATGTGGAATGTCTAATGGGGTAGGGGGGAGTCAAAAGAAGTTAGAGTGGTCAAATCAATAGTTAGGATTAGTCTATAAGATCATAAACCGTTAGATTGAGTCAAGTTAATCTGTGGAAGCTACCATGCTAGACCCTACCTAATACTCGTAATTAATGACTGACGACTTTGGATAATGCATCACAAAATCCGTCTCAGACGTATTCGTTCTGTAGACTACTCATTTACATATTACAATCATCTGCTACCACCACTACATTTAGACATCTAACTTTGTAGAGGATGGAGAGCTTCTATAAATATTGTCTTTTACTTCATCCGAACTACAATTTGTGAGAGCAAAGTCAGAGACAGTGAGGAGAGAACTTCTTATGTTCCTGTTTTTTTTAAATTCTTACTGTTCCGTTTAATCGAACAGTGCACAAGCGATTGTGTGCCGGAATCTCGTCACAGAGACTACTACGCTTTTGAATTTAAACCTATATTTTCGATAGTGAGGCAGCTAGGAGTAGCGCCAAATACCCAGATAAATGAAGGGTCGACCGCGCAGGCTCCGCTTATTAACTAGGTGAGGTCAAGAGAATGACCAAACTCAGATCTTGTATGTGTGTTTCGGAGATAGAGCATGAATCGACACCACGAGATATTGGAGTAATAAGCTAAAAAAATTTGTTGTCTGACTGAAGATAAGGTCCAAATATTGAGAGCTTCGACATGAAGTTTAGAGCACGGTAGAAACATTTAAACATTCCAAGAATATACATAATATGATGTTGATAAAATTCAGTCTGACATTAGATTGATAGAATTTCAGTATTGTCAGTACTTAATACGGATGTTAAAAAAAGCAATATAGAAGACACTAAATTAAATCCAACGGTACCAAAATGGAAAATGCACTAAACCAGGAATTCACAGTAAACTAGAATTCGATCTATTTTAATTAATTATCTACATATTTAGTGAAATAACAATATCTCTATAATAAATGAATGTAACTCATTTGCCAATAATAAGTACTTATGCCTAAGTCTTACTTTACGTGTGATGGCTAATAGTACAAATCGGTAGCTCAAACTGGAGTGCGTGTTCAGAAATCTGAAACTGATACATGATCACTGGAATTCAGACGTTCAGATTAAAAGTAGTCACCTAAATACTGATCTCTTATCTGCTATGCAATCAATTTTACTTCTAAAAATGTAACAGACAAATAAAACTACACTGAACAATGAAACGATTTCATGACAAACATAATTAAAGATATTTTTTTATAGACTGAGAGCGACCGAAAACAAACCGGATAGCACACTCTTCAATCAAAACTCAGTAATTAGGTAAGATTATTCATGTATACGGCCATGATTTACACAATTCATATACACAAGGGTCCAGTTGTTGAAGTTAATGCGAGGAATAGTGCAGAATCTGACAAACAGTTTACTGAAAACACAGCTAAGGGAAGCTAGCAACAATTTCACGACAAAACAGTAAATGAAAATGTCCACTTACGCGACGATTTTTCTTATTTCTAATTACGGCTGATGAAAGGGTTCGCTTTGAATTTACAACACAGTCAGATGCCTTGTTCAAATTGTATTCAACCTGGTCGATTAAATCACCCTAATATAAAGAGCACAAAGTAGCAAGAAAATAATGGGGATAATTGCTTCAAAGGTAGTCCGGGTTAAAAGTTTAAAATGTTATATTTTGTAGTAAAACTTGAGATTCATCGTATCAAGATATATGGGAGCAAAACTTTAATGCTAACGTATCAGCAAACAAGACTATTCAGAAAATAGACATCACAAGGCAGAGTGTAGAACTTAATTCATCTGATACGAAATGAAGAGATCGGGACATTAAGCAACTCCATAGGGTTTTGAGCTTACAGGGACTGAAATGGCTAGGTTTTATTACGAATCCTAAGTGCGTGCCTAAGAAGATTCGTGGTTCTAATGACGACTGGAAAACGATGATGATAATCAGATCAAAATGGCATCCATCCATGAAATCAATTGTTGTTAATCCGAACTATTTATAGGTGTTCAGTTTTCTCGAAAACTTAGTAAAACATAAAAATTTCAGTTAATACTACTAACATCTAATTAGAGGTGTACATCCATCTAAACTAGTAAATGTCTCATTACTCAACATTTTTTAAAAATATTATAGTTCTATACCATTACTTTTACTACTTCGACTAAACATTTACAGAGTATCGTAACTCAAACGTACTGATTCAAATTGTTATACCAGTAAATTGCCAGAAAACAACAGAAAACTAGTCTATAGTTATAAGTTATATTACAAACGACATCTATTCAGGGGACTACTAGATGTTTTTAAGTAAATTATATTATTCTTCGAGATACAACGATGGATCCCAGAAAGCGAACACAGTAATATAATACTGAATTCGTAAATCAAACGTGTAACTAAAAACTATGAGAAGTACAGCCAATCGTTATTATAAAGAATTTGTAGTAAAACATGTATAAATTTAAAAGAGATTACTTGTTGGTCAACTAGAAGAGCGACATTGAAGAATAACTCTTTCATCTCCTGGATACTTTTTTCGAGCCGTATAATGTCTGCATGACGAGCTTCGATATCCGATAGTGATCGCTTCGCAGCTTCTGTTTCAGCCATAATCTAATTTGAGAAAACTATCTATGAGGCATCGTATGAAGAAAACTTATGATCAAAATGCTCAGAAATTTACCAAAGTTTACGAGGTTAAAAACAAATATAAGGAGACAAGACAATGCAGATTGATGGGTCAGCTATGATTTACACAAATTGAGGGTTAAGAAAACAAATAGTCTGTTACAATATACATGAGCACAGTTAAGTCAAAACTCGAAACTCAATAGGACAAAGAATAAAAGTCAAATTTAAATGTACTTATGCTTCAACTAAGAATGAACAACTACTGAAATACTACTATTGTTGAACGACGTAATTTATTTTGCTATTTGTAAATTTGAATAAAGTAAAAACAACAAACTTAGCAGAAAAAAACGAACTACGCTATTTTGTGGTTGCTGTGCAACTGTTAACAATCTAGAAACAGTGGTATTAACTGTTTAAAGCTAAAGTACATATATCATATTAATGAAGATTAGCAAAATAAATATGGAACGAATCTAAAAACATTTCGACAGTCGAATATTTATACATTAACAAGTGTCAAAATAGTAGATAATTTTTAACATACAAAGAGACTAGCTTTTGGGTAAATCGTTATTTCGACTATCTTGTAACGACTTCGGTTAAATGTGACCAATTCAAAACAGTTTGAAAAATGTTTATTCTGAACGATTTTGAAATATCGAAGTTCTGTTTACTATCAAACAGACGACAGTTAACCGCACAGTTCGAAGCACGTTAGCCTTTTGGCCCCAATTATTATGGAATGTGCTCTGAGATGCGAACAAGAACCTTACTTTCTGTCCTTCCAGTGTAAATCCTTCGGCATCTGATAAATAGTGAGAGGTAACATGAAGTGGGAATTATCTGCTTCAGTGAGCAATTCGTCTGATACAAAGAGAGAAGTTCAACAACTGGATATGTCCCCATTAAAGCAACACATAGTCTACGATTAATCATACCAACCACCTCATCATTTTTGGAGTTAATTCTTTAAAAAACTGGGTATTTTATTGAAGCACATTCTATTCCTAGGGCCTTGCTTTCGCATACTTACTGGCGAACTTTTGTAGATAACCATTATCTTGTAAACACCTTTAAACTATAGTTTATTCCTCTCCAACTTTTAACTCTGAACATGGTTTCAGTACGTGGTCGGACAGTTTGATAACCCAAGCTCTTTTGTCGCTTATTGCACAGGAACCTAAAAATCTATATAAAACCTACCCTGTGCTCTTTCGATGAACAGATACTTCTGTTTGGCCGTTTGCATTGCAGTGAATACCAGTATTATGTTTCTACTCCATTGTAAGCTGTATATCAGGGTGAGGTTTATTGGGAGAAGTCACTATACGAAAAACGTGTTTATAACCATTACAAGTAACAAATGTGTCGTCCATTTTATTTTCTTCCATACCTTTGTTTGTCAATCATAACAACATTAGAGTCTTCATTAGGTTGAAGAGTGACGATATTCTTATTTCGCATTGCAATAAAATTTAAGGTTGTTGTTTATTAAAAGGCAATACCCAGTCTTCATTCAAATATATGAAACATTGATTTCCTGTTATTCCAAGACAGTATGATACAAAAACTTCATACTACGAGTAATTCTACCGTGGTAAGTCAGCAAAACAACCAATTAGTAATTTATACTAACAGTATTGAACAAAAATGGAATTACAGGTGGTCGGTTGAAGGTAAGACATTATCGAGACAAGCCACACATCGTTGCATTTAGCTACACTTAGAAATTTATTGTAAAACTGCTTAGAATTTCGGTATTCAAAATGGCGACCAAGAAAATTTAGCCTATCAAATCAAGTAACTTACAGCCTGTGTAAAAATACCCGTGTGGTTTTTTTCTAACATCTTTTCAACCTCATCTTCCGAAAATGAGACTTCAGCTGGAAAATATATTTGAACTTCTTTTGGAAACGGAGATGACACTTACCGATACGGAGCTTGGTTCGAATCCGAGCCTTACACTTGTCACGATAATCTACTTGTCTTTGACTATAATTGTTCATAATGTGGACGAATTGTCGGGAAATAGCAGCATGCTAAAGTGAAAGCATAAGATATCCCAAAACCAAAACCTGAGACGACTTTAGACGACATTTACCAGATAATCTTGACAGAAGATTATCATCTTCCTGTTGCCCTAATTCTACAATTGTAGACGATCCCAGTGAAGAAAAAAGAATTTACCTTTCAAGGAACTCCGAATTTTATGAGCCTTTTCTCGGATGGAATTGGTGAGCTCACTAAGCTGACTATCCAGTTCTAAAACCATAAAAGAATAAATAACATTACTTGGATCTTGTTGAGGTGTAGCCAGTATGTCCTTTTGTAGCCTGTCAACTGCATTAATATCTTGCCGTAAATTATCAATATCAGAGTGAAGTTCATTGACCTATTGATAATTAGACCAACAAACACATTTACCTGATCGAAAACAGCAGCATGTAGTTGAGAAAAGTCAAACTCTGCCTTCTTCATGGCATTTTCATTTTTGACCTTTATACGCTATAAACGCAAGAAACAATAAAAAAAATTGTAACAGGACTACAGCTTCAAGCTCAGGCAGTCGGTCTTTAACCATCCAAAAGTTGAATACAGGAAAATCGTAATACGCAGTTTACCAAATAACTACCGACAAGGGGCCGATACGTGATGAAAAGGTACTTGTTACTCTCAGAACGTTTACTATCTACATGGGAAAAACAAATAAAAAACGGACAAAATGGGTTCACATGCAAAAGTTAACAAACAAGTTTAAGAAAATATACTTTTATGTTAGAGAGCCAGGTGCTACTTAAGCATCGTCTGGGTTAGTCCAAGGACCCTACAACATATTCGGTGCTTTATTTCTCCTATGTAATGAGCTATTGCAGCGCATGGATAAGTGTAACTTCCAAGATGTGGAAGTTTAAGTGCATTTTAGAACATTCTGTGGACCTAATTTCTCGTTGTTTACCAATCGATTTTCAAATTGCATGTACGTTGTTTGACAAAAACACATGCAAACACTGGTTTCAAAAGATTTTAACTCAAAAACTAGAAAATTAACATTTATTTGAAAAATGTTGCAAAGAATAAGACTATCTGAAAAGTAAGTTTAAATCTCACTTTTCATCGTTCCATCAGTAAAATAACTCGGATCGATGGCCATTCTACGCTTTTAGATTATTAGTCGCATAGCTCGACTATCAATAACATACCAAGACTGTGACTGTCATAGTACATGAACAAAAATATCTTCAGAATAAAAACATCTTCCTGAATTAGTAGTAGCTAATTTGAAATCAGTGTTCAGTCATCCAGGACGTAGGACCAGGCATATAAATGCATCGATTCATGTTGTCACACTTCATTAGCACCTAATTCATTAACGCCAAATCCGTGGAAGCAGCTACTTTGGCGATAGTAGAAAAATTTCATATAAGGATATGATACACGAAGAGTTAAATCGTAGAACGGTATAAAGTAATTTTAATTTCACTATTTAACGGAAAACAAAGTGTATGAACCTATACCATTGTAGTCGATTCTGAGTCTCCAACCACTCGTTACGATAGGCGCGCGGACCCCAACCAAGTAGTCTGCATCTACCAACACGGCTTAAACCAGAAGTTAGTGACTTTATGAACTGATGCCAAATTTTGATTTGGCCGCACCTAACTTACTTCCAACCGTCTCGAACACCAGTCAGCATTGCGCGCAGTAGTAGTCCGTGCTTGAGCATGCGTACTGTGTGTCACGCAACTGACATTGATTCTAATAATTTCGTCTTGCTATAATAATGTGGTGCAGTCGATTGGACGGTTACACATATACAAGGTTCTGATTCTGGTTTTACTGAATGACTGATTGATATTTGATGCACAGTGATAACCTCGAGAACTCGGGTACAGAAGAGTGAGTAATTTGCTATGCCTAACGAAATGTTTATATACGAATACATATTGACAATCATTGCCAGGGAGACCCTACTGCTGGATAAGGCGAACAAAACATAGTGCACATCAGCACCAAGACACCAAAGGAACCCATGGTGCAAGACCTTATTCATCAAACACTACTGCATTTTTTCTTGAGGCATTATATATATGCAATTGAGAATTCATTAAAAAGTCAAGAGATATCGTAGTATGAGCTGGCAACTAAAATCATCTACACAAAGGAAAATTGTTTTGGCTCGAAAGAGCAACGTGTTGGCTGAATGTTTTATAAAGTTTACGGTATAATATAGCCCTTTGTTTTACTCTCCTTGGCATTAAATACATTTCAGTCTTAAGAAAGACATTAGGAGTACTAATATGTGACAAAAGAACATCCCATTGCTGTTGAATAACACCAGAAACTCGTACATCGGCTGGACGAGTTCACTGTGTTCTATTTCCTAGGTGTGAAACATGGTCATTAACAACATAGGATTTTTGCAAATTACTAGTATATGGTCAAAGGTGTACTTGAAGCATTGCACATGTATTTAAGGACTACGGACTAAGCAATGCCTGAGTTAGGAGTGGGGTACTAGGTAAGGATGATAATTCAATTGACGAGTTGATCTCCATCGATTTAGATGGTTGTGAGATGCGCTACGTATTGAGAACCACTGCCTACCTCAATGATAGATGTCTAATGTAAAAGCAGGCTATAAGAAAGCTAGAGGTGGCCAAACAAAAAAAATTGCACTATTCTATAAAGTCGCTGGAAGTTGGACTGTCATGTCAATAGGTGTAGACTACTTAGTTGGCGTACGTGTGATTAACGTAATCAATGATTAGGGACTGAATGATATAGTTCAGAACCGTTCACAATGGTGTAGGTTTCATCCATTCTGTTTCCCGTGAAAATCTGATACTTCTGAGTTCTTCATTACTTCTTTTGGGTTATTATTCCACTGGTTCACATTTTCTCGAATTCGAATGACTAATCCTTTCACTCACCAGTCATACTGTTAATACCTGTACTATTTTGAGATTTGGCCATACGATTTCATCTCTCTGTACTAATGCACATATCTATGAGATTCTAAGATGTGACTGACTGAGGAAATAACAGCAGGGTAGTACCCGCTTCCTCAAAACCATGGAATTTTGTGAATGAAGGATTTGTTTGAAAAACACTGACACTTTGGAAACTGAAAAATTCTCGATGTACAATAAAAAGGTATAACTAATTTCCTACAGCTTCAGTTAACCAGTGGTCATTTAAGCGTGTTAAGCCTACACGCTGAAATAAATGGCACTAGCGCGTTGGCACAACAGACCTGATGTTTCAAGATTCCACGATTAGTATGTGGGCACCATAGCTTGTTCGTATGATAACATTTTCGAAAAAGAATCTACTCAATTTAAAAGGTAGCTTTTAAGTAAGTGCATGTTATCCGCTGTAACCTTGATGAGATTCTCGAACAAAGCTGTGTATTTTCCGGTGCAAAAAAACAGTTTCCCTCAATCCTCAAAATAAATAATAAGTAACAATACTTCCATGAACGTTGACTGAAATCCCTAAATAATGAGTAACTATCATTTAAATTAATGGTTAATATGAATTAAGCATCTAGATGTCCCGAGGATAAGAAGAGAAAACGTATCAGAATACATAGAACTAAAAGTGAAGTCCGAGAACCAATCTTCCGAATATAAAGGAATCGGGAAGTAAACTAAACGAAATTCATGTTTCCCATTCAGATGCCAAGTATGAAGCGATCATATGTAATGAGAACTTTCTAATTCACTAAACTATGACACACTAGCAGCGCGCTTACTTGTAGTGATAGTGTGCACAAAAATATTCTACACAACCGGAATTTGGCCGCCAAGCAACTTTTAATCACGAAGGCACTGAACCAATTTCGAACGGTAATCCCATGTTTTCAATTAGACACATGAAGGTTTCAAATTATGCTACAACATAACATTTTACATCTCTTCCACTATTATCTATTATTCATGATTCTTCGTGTAATACACTGTCGCATTGCTGTCCAATGTTTGTTTTACAAGATTAAAATTGTTCAAAAAATTCAAACACGTTTTGCAGTTATCGACTAAGGCATGATTGGAACGGATTCACAACGTTTGCGAGTTGTTGAGGATAGCTTAGGATGCATCAATGTTCCTTTAGAACGCTACTATGGCGCACAAACTGCTAGATCTCTTGAGAACTTTAATATCTGCACAAGATCGGACACAATGCCAGTAAGTACATGTCTATTTTATTGACTTTCTCAGCTGCAAATAGTTTATTCTCTAGCTATGATCAAAGAAGTTGCTGCTTGTATAAACTTCAAATTCGGAAAAATAAGTTCCAAAATCTCAGACGCCATTGTAAAGGCCTGTCGCGAAGTATACAATGGACAGCATGACAATGAGTTCCCTCTCGTTATTTGGCAAACTGGTTCTGGTACTCAGACTAATATGAATGTCAATGAAGTTCTTTCGAGTAGAGCTAGCGAACTGATTGAAGGTTCACGCAGTTCTAAACTGACTGTTCATCCCAACGATCATGTTAATCTTGGACAGGTTCGGTCATCTTTATTATATACTGTCTGTTTAAGAGTTCAAATGATATTTTTCCCACTGCCATGAATCTGAGTATTGCAATGGAAACTGCATGGAAGGTTCTTCCATCTTTAAATCATCTCATAAACGTACTAAAAAGTAAGATGCATGAATTTATGGATGTTATCAAAATTGGAAGGACCCATATGCAAGTAATATCCTCAAAACGTTATATATTTAGTTTAGGATGCTGTTCCAATGAGCGTTGGACAAGAATTGAGTGGATACGTGAGTCAACTCCAGCAGGCAGTGGATTCAATTAAATCACAATTACCGTTGATTTGTTATTTAGCTGTTGGTGGGACTGCCGTGGGAACTGGGCTAAATTGTTTTAAAGGTTTCGACGAGGAACTGTGTGTAGGCTTAACACAATTAGCTGATCGTCTTTACAAAACTGTAAGTTTAGTTTACGAAAATTCCGAAATTACTTTCCTACACTTCAATATATCTAAACGTAATAACTCGCTGCTATTAATTGTAGATACTTGAAATTGTTTTTGCCGATACTGACAAAAGAATGATATTTTTGACGTCAACAAAAAGCCTTTAGTTTTAAACGTTGGACATTTGTATGTGAGAGTCAGTGATCAGCTTTCAAACGGCCAGGGAAGGACGAGCAAACTTTATCCTTTTAATTTAATTTAAGCTGCCTTCAGTACTTTTTCCAGGATATATGAGTCACCTTATAAAAACAAGGGCTTGCAGCCTAAGATTGTGTATAGTGTAGTGAATATGGTAGTATCTAACTTCGTGAATGTTCGTCTTAAAGCCTACAGGGTTCTAAACCACTTGCCTGCGACCTCACGGCGGTGGGCTGTGGTCTTAAGATCATGACTCACTGTCAACCCAAGATCATTGTGAGGCCGGACTACGAGTATAGGCCCTTACCCTATGCTATACCTTTTTATTTTTGTATCCCCAAAGGGCATTTAGACACACTTTGTCGCGTTGATAGTCATCAGCCACTCCTTAGATCGGTTAATCAAAATATTTAAATCTGCCTGAAGTGGGCACGCATCTGCGTCCCCGTTAATTTTCTCCAGATTTTTACATTGTCAGCGTATAATAACATTGGGGACTGTATTATACTTAGGAGATCATTTACATATAGTACAAAAGGTAAAGGACCTAGGACAGAACTTTGAGACACTCTACTAAGTGCTGGTCTCCAGGTGGAACACTTTGAATTTATTCTTACTTCCAGTCTACGATGTGCTACGAAATCCCTAAGCCATTTTAAGAGAGGGCCGAAAATATTAGGATTTTCTAATCTAAATATCAGTCTATTTGTTGGCACCTTGTCAAATACCTTACCGAAGTCTATGTAGACAACATCCACTGAGTTTCCGTTATCTAGCGCCTTTATCCAATGCTTACATACCATCCAGACTTTTCCGTGACAAGCCATTATTAGTTATTAGTTTATTCCACACTACCTTGTTATGCAATAATCTTCGGTGAGACTATAATTTATGGACGACCGTTGAGCAAAGCTAGACTTAACTTGAGAGTGTCCGCCTAATAACTACGACCAAGTGAGAGTTATAAACCAGTGTGGAGAATTAAAATTATGATTTGCACTTGGTGGTTAAGGTTAGGAAATAGATTTATGTTTTTCGCTGTCTCCTTTTCTGCATCTAATGTATGATTACTTGACTCTCTTCCCTTTTATAATGTATAATTGGAATAAGAATCCTACTCCTCAGTTACTTAGGATTTTCTTGTTTCAGTTAAATTCGGAAACGAATATTTGGAGTGCTAAACAAGTTGTTTTACTTACGTTTCACAAATTCTTTTAACAGATGTACAAAGAATCTACACCGGTAATAGATCTCGTTTTCAAACCAGCTGAAAATAAATTTGCAGCTCTTGCAGGCCATGATGCCTTATTACAGTTAAGTGGTTGTTTTAATACCACCGCTACAGCTTTAATGCGATTGTCTAATGATTTTTGTCTGCTCAGCTCGGGACCAAACTGTGGCCTCAGTGAATTTGTTTTACCGGCAAACGAACCTGGATCAAGCATTATGCCAGGCAAGTTAAATACGTTTCCATTGTACGCAACTTTCTTTGTGATGTCTCTTTTGGCTGATAGTTCAATCACTACTGGATTTCACATGAATTGAGCTGATTGAATCCCCAAAGGTATTTAATTCATGTTTTGTTTACTGGAACCATACTACACATACTTAGCGATTAAAACGCCTGACTCATTCAGCCGTGCACAATTCACAACACCAAACTTGCTTCTCCATAAGTAACTGGGTAGTAATACTAGCTCTCTAACTAAAGTATGACTCAAATTCAATAAAACGACC